TATATTTATTATTTATTTTGCCGAAATTTGGAATATAAAAAACAAATTCTACCTATGTAAACATTTGACATTATATTAGTTTATTTGTGTCACGCGCAATTTTTAAAATAAAGTTCGTGAAAATTTAAATTTAATTAATTTGAAACATCATGTTACAATTGTTACATTGAAATCCAGAATTTCAGATCATGTGCGATCACGTGCAATATATCAAATTTTTCATTGAGTTAACAAACTTTTTATTATAAAATTCGAAAAATCGTCCAGTGTTCCTTTAAAATTCTTGTTACTAGTACTAAATGTAACTGAAATCAAAATATTTTGATCACCAAAAATTTTGTTTTTACACATGTTTATTTTCGTTAGATGAATTTTAGATTATGTAATTTACTGTAATTAAATATGATAGGTTCAGGTTCGGGAATTGTTGAAACAAATTACATCATAATATCGTAATTACATATTATTGACTTTACAATAACGGCAATTACTTCAATAAGGAAAGGGAATGATTCCGTTATTCTTCTTTGTTCCGAGAACTTTTTATAAGGAACGTACTTGCCGCAATAAATACGAAGATAACCGACTTTTAACATTATATTTGAATTATGGAAATATTATTTAAAAATTTGAACGCTGGTTCATTAGATGATAAAGATATTATTTCGAAGTGGTCAAAGAAAATTATCGGAATAAAATTTAGTTATTAATATTAATAATATGAAAATATTAACCCACATTATGAAGGTGTAACTCGGAATAAATCCGAGGTGGGTCCAACTGCTAAAAACGAAAGTATGAAAATCAAGACGATCAAGTGGTACAAACAGATTCAGCTGAATATATCAAATCCAAAGAAAATCCTTACGCCATTTATAATTATTGAGAATAGTCTACGATCGATATCCCATTCAAGAGGTCAGTTCATTCCGGTTGGTTGCAATTTTTCTCAGAATAAAAAATCCTATTGGTGAACCCCTTAAAAAAAAAATATTGAGAATATATTATAGTTTGTCACGCAAACAAATGCAGAACCGACCTGGCCAATCAAATTAACTCTAACAGATAATTCAACAGATAGGCTTAATAAGTTCGCTCGGTCATTAGAAATACTGCAGTGTCCAATAAGAAATAATATTATTAATGCTGACACTAATACTAGCAATATTATTATCAAATATTGGGTATATTAAAACTCGCATATTCCTTATTAGTTTAATAATAATAAGAACTATTATGCTGCTGGTTAAGCAAATTAAAAAATAATTTATTATTAATGTGAATATTTATTAGTTGCTGATCGAAGTCTTTATTTCCTTTGTAGATTAAGTTCATCAATTTGTAACCAAAATCGCATAAAATTTTTTACTGAAAATTCTTTGTCTTTTTTTGTTCAAATATTTAAAATAATTAAATAATTTTAATAAAAATTCAAATATTACAAATCCACCTAAAAATGTAAAAAAATCGTTAAAACATGGGATTTTTTTCTCCCCAACGCTAATTTTCCATATAGACAATTCCGTCAATCTTTACCCGTTTAACTTGAAAAATTTTATAGTATTATCTTTTTTATTTAAGCATTTAATGTAATTCTTACAAAATTCAAAATCTTACAAATCCGCCTAGAAATGCAAAAAGTTTAAAACATATAAAAAATTTTTTTTTTCCCTATAGATAAGTCTATCAATTTTAATAAAATCGCTTGGAATTTTTGCCAAAAAAACTATGAGGTTAGATTTTTTTACAAGTATTAGTTCTTCAATATTACAATATTACAAACTTGAAATTTTTGAATGAAATATTTAAACATTGCAAATGTTCTAAATTTTGGCCATAAAATTGCGCCACTTTTTTTTTATTAAATAAAAATATCAGATAGAAGTCTTAAATTTTCTATATACACTTTTGTACTATATTCTTTAAAAAAAAAATTAATTAAAAAAATTGTTATTTCTGTCAAAATATAAAAACTATATAAATTTCTTTTTTTTTGGAATTTTCCAAATTTTTTCAATTTTTCAAGCTAAATAACTTTGCAAAAATTAAATTTAACACTTTAAATGCACTGCGCAGCCTCCAAATTGTATTCTAAATATATACAAAGTGTTTATTTTAGATTATTAAATAAAACCGAGTTTTCAATTAGTGCAATTAATTATTATAATATAGAATATTACAAGGACGCCGACTTCGTACTGTGAGGCGTGCGCAGTTTCGGTAAAATAAGCAACCGTGATAGTCTCGTTCATTTTTGGAATAGTGAGATTGTGTTACGTGAAAGAACACATGATACTAATAACATCAAATAAATGTTATACTTCGTATATTATAATTCCTAAGTATAGTGAGTGACGTTTTTGATTAAGAAACGCGTATCTAGTAAAAAAATAATCGTCATCTGAGTAAATCAGTAAATCACAGCCACATTTTACGTAATGGTACATCACGCGAAATACGTCATGTATTCAGAAAGAATATAAATATCAAATATTTGTATAATATAACTATTTCTTAAATTTATTCTCATTCCTTCAAACACGCCTTCAAATATACTTTCATACTTTCTCAAATTTATTCTCGCGCGCGCCTTCAAATATACTCTCTCAAGTTTATTCTCGCGACTTCAAAAGATGTCCATGTCTTCTGGTAAGTTATTATTTCGTGCGTGAGGAGCATAGGGGTTATTATTTTCGCTTTCCTTTCTTCTTAGAATAAAAATCTCTTATGACAGTTTAAAGAAGATTGGAAGCGCTCGTCTCATTCATTCATTCATTCATTCACTCACTCACTCACTCACTCACTCACTCACTCACTCACTCGCTCCTTCGTGTATGAGGAGTATAGAGGTT